TTTTTTTTTTTTTTTTTTTACGAGCTTTCTCTTGACCACTGTTGTTGTATGACATGTTCAACAGTTTTATTTTTCAGTTGAGTTTCACTTTTGTACACGAAATATATATCAACTATCTGTGTTGGAAAATACAACACATACAACATCATATTGTACGCGTTTATACAATAAAAATAAAAATAAAAATAATAGTAATAATAATCATCATAATCATAATCATAATAATAATAATATAGTAATAGTAATAATATTATTATACATATATAACTATATATGCATATGATGTATCGCTTTGCATTATAATTTCATTTCTAAAATGTAGGTGTTTTTTTTTTTTCTTTTTTTTTTTAATAGGTAAATGTGTATCGGTTACAATTGCATAATTATCGTAGCGTTATTTAAATTATGGATGTTTATATTGCGATGTGTTTTACAGTATGCATATTCCATCATCATCATCATCATTATCATCATCATCATCATCTTCTTCTTCTTCTCATTATCTCATTGTTTGTCTTTTTCTTTATTTCTTTTTTTATTTATTTATTTATTTTCATTCTTTCTTCCATTTAATATATATACACAAAAAATCATTTCCCCATAATCTCGTCAGCCATTTTTTTTTTATCGAAAAGTCCCTGTGCATTCTCTTTTCTTCATCCAATTAATTATTCTGCGAACACGCAAAACGACATGAGAAAAATGAAAATTAGTTTTTAGCACAACAGGCCCAACAAAGCACGAAGAAGAAGAAGAAGAAGAAAGAAAATCATCATCATCATCATCATCATCATCTTCTTCTTCTTCCTTCTTCATTTTTGAAATTGTTTTTTTTATTCTTTTCACACATTTTTATAATTCTACTTGTTTTATTTCATTTAAAATTAATCCTTTCTTTTTCTCTCATCTCGATCATCTTTTCTTCGCATTTTTCTTTTGTTTCTATTTGTTTATAACGTACACACACACTTCATCATTATGCTTACATTATCCCCCTTTTCACATATCACACACAACACACACACACACATGCAATAAAAACATATATATATATATATATATATGTGTATATATATATATTTAATATATCACATCGGTTGCGTCCGAATCATTTGAAACACATTCATTCATGTTACGGACCCATCCATTCATATACTACATCATATATCCCTTAAATTTCTCAGGCAATCCGAAATGGATATTCTGGTTGACTACATGGTAGTCACATCACTCGACCAATGGAACGAGAGACGTTCATGTTTTTTTTTCTTTCTTATATTATTATTATTATTCTTCTTCTTCATCTTCATCTTCATCTTCTTCTTCTTCATCACTTCCAACTTCTTCTTATTCTTATTCTTTTTTTATTTATGTATCTTTCATAAATACATCATTATCTTTTCTCATATATCACGTACACGTCTTCATGGTTCCCTTGGAAGTTAATATTTGAATCGGATATATATATATATATTTTTTGTTTGTTTACCCGATACAACTCGAAGTGTTGACAATTGTGTTTAATTAATTATTATCGAACTGCTGAGTTTATTATTTCAATGGGTGTAAAAAGAGAATGATCATTATATCAGTGTTTTTTTTTTTTTAGATCTTCTCACCCAATTGGACACGTTCTATGTCAAAAAACTAGATTTATAATATAACCGAGAAGAAATATTCTTTTTTTCTATCTTTTTTTTTTTTTTCTTCTTCTTTCTCACCATCTTCTTCTTCTTCTTCTTCTCTTATTATTATTATTATTATTCTTTTTGTTTGTTCTTTTCTTTATTTTTTTTTCTGTGTGTGTGTTTTTTTTTTGTTCTCTTTATGTTCAATCGCCATCTTCTTTTTATCCTCATGATTCTCTTAAGTTCAATCATTGTTTTGATTAAGGATGTTTGGGTACATATATATATATCAAAAAGTATACTAAAAAGTTAATATTTTCAATTGATACGTTACATGTATGTTGTTTAAAAGTTATTGCAATTGAAAATAATTAATTACAATTATGTGTGATTTTTATGGTGACTCACCACATCATCATCATCAGTAACAAATTAAAATACATTAATAATATAATTTAACATTTAAGTATTATTTATATTAATACACACTAATTCAAAATTAATTCGAAATTTAATTTAAAAATTTGTTCTTTGTTTTTTTGTTTTTTTTTGTTTTGTTTTGTGTATTCATTTCAAATGAAAACAATTATTTTACTGTCAAAAGTTTACAATTTTTGTTACATTATTAATCATTTCGTATTAAATTCAACATTATTGAATTGACTAAAATTGCCTCCATATTGTTTTTTTTTTCTTTTTTTTCATTGTATATTACGTGATGCAGAAGAAAGTAATGGCGCTGTTCTAACCTTACATTTGAACGAATACATTTTCAAACAAATTTGTATTTTTAATCAATAACACAAATAAAACCTTTGTTATCAACAACCACCTTTTTTTTCTTTTTTTTTTTTTTTTCTTCTTCATCTAGTAATGCAAATTGTTTAATAATTAATCGGTCATTAATTAAAGTTTATTTATAATATAAAAATTGACATGCATATTTTACATTACTTTTACAGTCTCCCTCCCTCCCCCTCCTCCTACCCCTTCCCCTTCGCCCCCTTAAAATACATTTTCTTTCTAGCATTAACAAAATTCATTTATTTCATAATATACAGTAAAAAAAAAAAACAAAAAAAAAAAAAAAAGAAAAAAAACGTAGATACTTAAATTAAAATTAAAATTAAATAAAACAATTATTTGGCAACTTCAATTATCTTCACAATTGTACCACCTCCCAAACATCCTTAAAAATACATCATCATCCAGTGGAGGATTTATACAGTAGAGAGATAGAGAGAGAATACAGTCTCATTAATCATCAAAATTAAATATATATTTTATCTTTTGTATCTCATTGTTTTCTTTTTTTCTTTTTTTTTCTTTTCTTTCAAAACTTACATTGCCTAAAGAGTATTTTTTTTTTCTTTGTTTGTTTTTTTTTCTCCTTTCTACATTCTTATTATTTTTTGTTTTTTTTTTTTGTTTTGTTTTGTTTTTGTTTAAATATGTTTAATTTTTTTTTTTTTTGTCTTCTTCATCTTAAAATATATCATCATCATCATCATACCGCAAATAGAAAACCCGTTTAAATTTTAGGGTTAACATGGAAAGAGAATTTTAAAAATCTACGAGCGAGGTTATACAAGCTGCACAAGATTTATAATAAACGGAATGCGTGCGAAAGTAGTTTTTATGTTTTTTTTTTGTTTGTTTGTTTTTGCTTTTGTTTTTGTTTTCTTTCTAATTTCATCTTCGTTCGGTTTTCATTCATTCATTCAATTAATTAATTAATTAATTAATTAATTAATTAATTATATTTTCTTTTTCATATATGTTTCTTCTTTTTTTTTTTCTTCTTTCTTTCTTTCTTTCTTTCATTCTTTCTTCGTTTAATTATTTTTCATATAGTCATAATTAATGTGACTGTAATAATTTTTGTTTATACATTAATCATTTTTTTTCTCCATAAATTATAATCGTAAAATTGAAAAATGACAATTTTTTTTGGCGAATTTTCTTCTTCTTCTTTCGTTCTTTCTTTCTTTTTCTAATTACTTTGTTTGTTTTTTGTTTTTTGGTAGGTAATGTTTTTTTTTTTTTGCTTCTTTCTCAAAAAATATTTCTTTTTTTTCTGTTTCTTTTTCAATTGGATGATCTTTAAAATGTAACAAAGACTTTTTTTTCCCTCATGTATAATAATATACATATATATATGCATGACGTATATAAAACACGTTGTACGTGAATGAAAGTATTGGCAAATTTTTCGTTTCAATTTCATTTTGCAATTAAAACAAAATGGTGGATCGAACTTAATTAGAACCGCAGAGTCACCAATGACTACCAACAATAATAATAATAATAATAATAATAATAATAATAATAATAATAATAATAATAATAATAATAATAATAATAATAATAATAATAAATGTTATAATGATGAAGATGACAATGATAATGATTTAATGATTTAATGATTAATGATTAATAAAATAATAAAATAATAATAATAATAATATTATTATTAAACAATATTAATAAAATAATGATAATTATAATCACTAATATACATATGTATATTCCTGTACAGGCAGACAAACACAAACAAACAAAAAAAGAAATTGCAAAATATACAGCTGTTTTTTCAAAAACAGACAAAATTCAATTAGTTAATATTTTTAGTCATAATTCTTTTGCTCTTTTTTTTTTTTATTAAGGCAACACCCTATGAAAAATAATATCTGGCAGTAAAGGAAAAGTTTTCTTTGTTCTTCTTTTTTTTTTTTTTTG